ACAGAAAAGGGACAAAAGGGGTGTTTCCTCCATTTTGATAGTGTAGGATTTTTCCTTTATCCTTATTACACACGCTCATACATACACAGCCATCTCACTTTACCTCAAGTCAACTGAGCTGACCCTGTCAATGTGCGGGCATGCGAGGGGGATGTAGCAATGTGATTTAGGTTAAACACGCTTCACTGGCTTATAGGTGTTAGGGCTGCTGAACATGTGATGGACAGACACAAACACGCACGGCTAGTGTAATAGTCCACCAGCCCCTTCCCAACATACACACCCACACAACAACACAAAACCCCGCACAGAGAGCATGCATCTCCTGAAGGACAAACATTTCATCTTTCCTGGTCTCCCCTACCTTGCAGTTTCAGCACAACTGTCAGCTGCACTGAATGTGTGTGTGTGTGTTTGTAAGTTCACTTTATTCCATATAATCCAGTCTGAAGTGCTCCTCGGCCCGTCTCCTCTGTGTGTCCTTCCCAGTATAGCTGGTTGGTAGCCTATGAAGAGACTTTAACCTTGCCTCCACATGTTGCTGATGAAAATGTTACCATAGCACTGTATCCAATTTCTGGTCTCTGATGTATGGTGGGAATATACGTGCTCAGTGAGGCGTTTGGCTTGAGATGCAATTTACATGACAGCGCCTATACATCCGGGGGCAGTATGATCGATATCTGGGGTATTTTTCTTGTCTTTTTTTTTAACAGCGCCATACCTTAGAGTAAATACAAATGACAGGCAGCAATGGTTTACATAAAGCCAGATGTTGACAACTTCTCAAGGGGGCTTGTGAGTAGGGTGGGGCCTGTTATTGGAAATGCAATTACCTCAGAGGTAAACGCCTTGTTTAGACTGTCATCACAATGGAATGGAAAGAGTTTAGCCGACTGGGATTTTGTTTTGGCCATATCTGGGTCACCTGGCTATCAATTCTTTAAGAATAATTGTTGCATTTGAGGAAGTATTGGACATTAACTTGGTTATTCACTGAGTTTGTAAATGTCAACACAAAGGAGTTAAGACAGTATGCAATCCTTCAATTGAGGTTGGAACATGAAAATCTCTAAAAAGTGTTGCTGCAGTGACAACTGTGCCCTATCTCAGTACACCCCTTGCCACTACCACTTAGTCTTTGCCCCTCTGTTTTGCACACTCACGTCTAGGGATGGGGTGTCCCCATTTTTGTTGGGTTAGAGGTGTGGGGGAAGCGGTAGGGCTACATGGGCCTCAACTTCAAACCAAGTGTTGGCTATACACGCGACAAAAGAAACCCACAACTGGAGACGTGGGGTAAAGTAATTATTACCGGGGATTTTAGTCCCGTCCGAACGCGCCATGTCTGTAATCATTACAGATAATGTCAGTAAAAATTACGGCGACTTTACCTTCTGTAAAACGGTGCAGAGAAAATACCTCGGGTAATATCAATCCAGTGCGAACGTGATCCTCTGTAAAAATGTATAATATTAATATAATACATTATATATATATGTCGTCATGTCCTGTTTACAACCATTTTTCCGCGTTTACAACTACTCTTCTGTGTGTGTGTGTGTTTTTTTTTCTTTTTCTTAACTGTCTGCATTAGTCTTCGTAGCTTAGCGCCACAAAAGGGTGTAAGCTTTTTATGAAGATTGATGCACTGTTAGTCTTGCAGTCAAGTATTTTATACCCATACTGTGCGTAATTGTGACCGTCACCCACCCTCCCTGGAGACTAGCCTATCAGCCTTTATTGGAAAAACTTCCTAGTATGAGCCAGAGAGGGCCGTGATACACCATAGTGTGTCAAGGGGAAAGTAAGGGTCTGTGTTTTTTCGATGATGGAGGCGCTTGAAGAAGCATTCGGTGTTGTCTGCAGTCATGATAGTGGACATTCTTCTAATGATCGCAAAGCCCTACATGGGAGACCAATCAGAAAGGTCAAGAGGAAAGCACTTTTCAGAGCCACCAGTACATCGTTGTGTACACACAATCCTGATCATGGGCAATATTTCATATTGGGCTAATCATTAATTATTATTAACACATACGGGAAGCAACGTGGCACGCACATACCGACAGGGAGGTGACGCCAGGACGCAAACCAACTTACCACTCCCATCTCTGGTAGAATTATGGAGATTTCGTGTCCTGTGTGAATCAGACATTTATATTACAGTAGGGTTGTCAACGAATATTCTAAATTCGAATTTAAATTTGAATTTGAAAAATAAATGGACCTTCGAATGTGAAAATTGATATTCGATTGTGGAGAAAAAAAAAACAAAAAAACACCACCGCAGCTGTCCTCTTTGCGAGTGGGCGTTGGCATCAGACGCGCATTTCTCCAGCCTGTCGACAAGCGGTTCTGCTCCCAGCTGTTGTCTCCGTCACCCGGCTTGACACATTCGCTTGCGGCTCGCGCAGAAAATAGAACAGACGCCGAAACGATCGCTGCAGGGTGCGAGCCGGTCACAGTCTGGTGCTTCGAGGCTATTCGCAGCGCTTCAGCGGGAGGTGTGGCCATGGGTCAGACAAGGGGGGCGAGCGAGAGGTCCGTGGTCGTTTGTAACGTAATGTTATAGATAACTGTTTTATGTGTTTTAATGTGTAGGTATGTAAATGTTTTCAAAGACCTTTATGTTGAAATAAAAATACCTACAAGTAGTTATGTTTCCTTCTATTAATACATATACAAGTATGTTTCCTTGTATTAGTTTGCCCTCTTGTGGACATAATGCGGAAAAAAAAAATATTCGAATGGTTCGAACCTATGAGTTATTTTTAGAAGGAATATTCGAACGTCAGTTTTGAGCAATTTTGACAGCCCTATATTACAGACATCCTGTGGTAAACTGACATTAGTCCACATCCCTATGTAAAACTAATCCCGTCTGAATAGTACTATATTTTAATGTTGTTTCAATATATTATGGTCATTTTCTTTATAATATGCATAAGAAAAAGAAATCACTACAATGCTGATGTCTCAGGAGCTAACTAGCTGGCTAGCTAATGTTAGATTATACATGCTGATTTGTACTGGACACATTTTGCATTTTGACCTTCACTCCCACACCCTGAAAATAAGTGGTAGAGGTAAAGATATAAAAGGGGACTGGGCCTCGCAATGCAAGTATGAGAGCCAAGAAAATATAGCTGTCATTTTGTCAGCTGAAAACTTTAGCTCAAGCTTAAAAGCACTTTATGTTGTTATACTCATGAATTTCTCTGTGCTAAAAGACTTTTTTAATCTGTGGATATGGGTGGATATATTGTAAATCCTCTTAAATGAAGTGCAAGTACAGTTTACCACTTCCAGAATTAAAGGGATCTTGTGCCAATTTTCAACCAGCTTTGTATCTTTAAAGTGTGTGTAGTATGTGTAAATAAACGTACAAGCTCCCAGATCTCGCTGCTCATTTGCCTCATCCTGTGGATTTTCACTGGCTGTTGCTTCAACTACAGACTGTACTTCCTCAATTTTGTATATCGATCACGACCACGGACACAAAGAGTATAGAAGTGAATCTCAAGCTCAGACCAAATTCAGATCGAACAGTAAGGTAATGCTGATCAAACATGAACCAAGATTCTATTGCTGTGTTTCCTATTCCTCATCTAAACTGTTGTCAGAAACATATTTTAGCTTACCGTTTATCTGTAACACAAGATCGTTTGTTACCAGCCTACTGCTATACTGTTCTGGGGCAGGCAACTTGCATTGGGTTACCTACCAGTGGGAGCATTTGTTGATCTGATGCAGCACAGTGCATTCTGGTATTTGTAGGTTTTCTACCTCTTTTCTCTGTTCTTTTCTGGTCACATTGCACCAATTTCAAAAGTATTTACGTCTTTCTACTGCATAGACAGCCCAGTTTTATGAATAGACCATCTTTCCAGCAGTGAAATACTTCTTTTATAATCTCTAAGGTTCATTCTTGACCTTGGAAATTGTTATTACAAGATCTAAATATTTATTAGAGACTGTTCGTCACATGATAAAAGGTGGTCGTATATGGGGTGCGCACCTGCATCTCTCCACTGACTCCTGGTTGATGACTTTGACCCCTTCCGAGTCGGTGTGCAGTTGAAGAAAAATCAAGTTGGCTTATCACGTTCAACACTAGAGATCGTCCCGAACACAGACAGGAGTTGGGATGGGGCTGACAGCTCAGGATTAATCAAGTAAATGGCCTTTGTGATAAGAATTTCGAGTTAAATTGTAAATCGTGATTTGTCCTTGATGAATAATAATATTGCTGAGTTACAGTGCACCAACTTTTGGTCTTTTGGTCAGGTTGCTCTATATGTAGCACCTCTGTTGTGTTGGCAGCTTGATGAGCAAACCAATGAATTGTTTGTCGTAGAAAAGACTCTTATCTCATGCAGAAATACAAACAACATTCTAAGGAACTAGTATGGGGTGAGGCCTGCACCCAATGTAAGATTGTCTTTCAGTTGCGCAAGAGCAGAGGCGATCCCAGACTTTGCGGAAACCCCAGGCAAAGAAGCCCACTAAGTTCCCTCGCTTTTTGTTTGACATCAAAATCCTCCGCTCTTGTTTTGTCGGTCAACCCTCCTTACTCTTGTGATGTGATAAGTGAAATCTGACTCCTGCTTTGTGCTGCTGTGCTTTTGCATGCATCAGAGACTTTTAGTTTATTATTGCGGCGACCTTTATCCCACTATGTATTGATTTAAAAAAAAAAAAAAAAGCAAAATGATGGTGGGGATGGTGGGAAAGTATTGTAATCAGTGTATGCCTGCACATCCATATAACACCAGTATTCTAACTACAGAGGCAAGCCTAGTTTATCATTGTCATTGTAAAATGTGCCAATATCATGCCATTGCAGGCCCCTGTTCCTAATTTTTTTTGGCAGGCCCCAAACATTTGCCTGGTATACTTCTCCTGATGGTGCACCCCATGTACAAGAATAAAGAAACTCTTTCTCTTTCTGGAACATGTTGAAGGAGAATGGTTTTTGCACTGGTGTAACATCTTACCTCGCCTTCTCTGTGCCACGGCCTCCCGTTCTGAGGGTACTTGCTCTGGCTCTGGCGTTTCTTCTGCCCTCCGTCGGCAAATTTGCACAGCAAAGGCTCCGTGGGAGCTGCAGAGAGAGAGAGGACAAAATCATGTTAGGGAGGACTTCATCCTGTGACCCATCAGAAGGACAGAAGCCCTTTTGAACTGTGTCACATTTCTCCTCTTCTACCATCACTCCCTCCTCCCTCCCTCCTCTCCGCCCTCCTATGGAGCTCCTAGAAAAATTCCCAGACCGACGATGTTGGCAGGCCCTCCCTACCCCAGCCCAGGCTGGCAGCCCATGAAAGAGCATTGCAGGGTATTGTTGAAATAATAATCACAGTAATCGCTCTTGTAAATACCTCTGAGATGGTAATGCAGGACCGCTCTGTCAGCCAAAGCTTTTTTTTTCTAGAAGGCGTTTCTGTTCCTGACACGTAATCCCTCCGTGTTTCACTTTAACAGCCATATTCTCTTTTATTTGAAATGTTAGGCCTTTTTCCACACCACAACCATCAGTGCAAGCGTCTCACTGGGCGGTGTTGTTTGAGTAGAGGCTGTCACAGATATTAACACTGCTATTCTTAGAGTGAACACTGGGGGCAGTCTAACCATTTCTGACATGATAAGAGCAACAGTAACAGAGGATTGACACAAGTGCCTTCACTACAGAGCTGGCAAGTGTCTATCATCAACCAGCAGGAAAACATGACATGAAATAGCTGTTATTAATCTAATTAAAAAAGAGGAAAAAAAGGCCCTCTGTACTGTGACCTCATCTAAGCTGTCTCTGTATCAACAGCCTTTTGTGTGCATAATTGCTGATAAAAGGTCGATGAAAGTGTTGCGATGACCTACGCCTCTATAAAGATAACTTCTCAAAGGGCACTTTCTCACTACTTGAGCTGCAGGTGAGCACCAACAGAGACAAAAATGGATTCAGGTGGAGGACTCTCCTGATGAGATACTGTAAAAGGAGAGTGAGAAAAAATGTGAACGAAGACAGGCTCAGTGAAAAAAGAAGAGAATGGGGGGTGGGGGGGGGGCAGAGAAAGGAAAAAAGATCTTAGTGAGCTTTTCTCGTGAGAAACGGGTGGCTCTCTTGGCTGGGGATCTGGGGGTCTTAGCAGTGTCCGTCCCCTTTTCAGTCTGCGTCAGCGAGATCGGAATCTCTCTGGAAACAGACCGTGGAGATGAGAGAGGGGAATGGAGACAGTTGGATAAACTAAAAGAAACATGGGAGTACAGAGAGAGTGAGAGAAACAAGACTGAAAAAAATAGAAGAGTGAAGCAGATAAGAGAAACAGGTGAGTGACCGTGGGAGAGACAAGAGGGGAAACAGAGGCAGAGCGAGAATCTACACCAGGATCAAACGCTCATTCCCTGTGAAGGCTGTACAGTTCAGCAGCAGTACAGTACACACTGAGCCAGTGAGCTTGTCCAAACACTTAAGCGCTGCTGCCCTGCACCTGGTGGCTTAGAAGGGACCTGACGGCTCTCCCTGTCATCGCATTCACATTACAGGCCTGGCAGCTCGTGACACGGCCGCTATGTGACGACACAGGCCAATGACGGGGCTGTCTGCAGGAGGTGAGCAACGGGACTTTTCATCACGCTGTGCCAGAGATGACACCCACCGGGAGAATTGTTGATGCTTTAATCTCCGCTCCCAGATGTTAGAGGCGCTTGGGCCTTGATAATAAGGCAGCATCACAAGACAGGAGAGAAAGAAGCGCTCTCGGGGATTGACAGGGTAGTGACAGCAATAAAACAACCTGGGGTGAAGTGAACTCATGACGAGGCAGGCTTACAGTTACATTTAATGGTTTAGGCGTTAATGAGCTAACAAGATCGTTTATCTACTCATTTACATTTCTTCCACATTTTGATAGAACCATTTTTTATCAAGGTTTGCAGTCGAGACACATGAATTGGACTCTAGTCACAAATTAGATGACTTGAGACCTGACCTGACAAAATCAAAAAAGACTTTCAACTCAAAGCAGGAATGACTCATCACTTCTCTTGGTTCTGAGCCCTTGGCCTTGAAAATACTTGATACCCTCCTCCAAGAACACTGATTAAAATGCACCAATTCCTTTGCCTTCATTCCTGTATCAACTAACATTAACACTATTTATTCCTGGGAAGTTCACACCAGTCTGACAGCATCCAATCAAGTTGCAGGAGACAACCAGGAAAAACCAACATTCCGTTACTGAGCGCCAGTCGGAAAGAAAGTATACCAAAGATTTTGTTTGTGTACAAAAATTATGTGGTGGTCAACAAAAAAAAAAACAAAAAAAACTTGTGTTACCCAAAACATGCAGGTCGAAAATTACAGACGGAGACAAAACAACTTCCAACTTTGTTCAACATTTAAAGCACAAAGAACAGTAAGTTGAGGCTAATATTAACAGTTAGCGAGCAAATGCTAATCTAATGTTAGCTATACTAAGTAACTTTTTTATTAAGAATATATGTATTAGATTTATCAAATACAACACAGAACAAATCACTCAGACTTGACATAACGAACAAAATAGCTATAGCTAAAACCCTCACCACCCCCTATAACATAGCCAAATAACAAGGTTACAGGATGACTGATTCGCAGGAAACCCTTGTAATGAGGAAGGTGACAGCGTAAGCCCAATGTATTTTAAGTAAGAGTCCCAAACCTTGTAAAAAGCATCCATTAAGGAGTGAAGTATCCTAGAGATATATTCATTGGGACTGTTTTTTAGAGCAGCAACCTTGATCCAAAAGAGCAAAAAATTCTCCCTGGCAGCGAAAGTCAAAAGACTGAAGAGCCTCTTGTGTTCGATATTTATAACATGACCATGTGAGGACCAAGTAGGAGGCACATAGGGTCTAATTCTATTTGAACACCAAATATAACACACAGTTCATCCACAACACTGGACCAATAGCTTTGTAGCTTCACACGTAAGCAGAAACAATGACTGCAGCTGCCAGTGTCAGAGTTACAGTAACAGCAGAGTGGAGATTCATTAGCATCCATTTGATTTTTGAGAGCAGGGGTTACTTTTTAACAAACTTGTTTTAAGGAACAAATACAAATTTTAACATGCATTCATGATTTTTTTGAGATTAATATACTATCACTTTGTTGTTAAAAATGGCATTACATTTGGACAAGACACATTGTGACCTGTGTTGTACTTGAAACTCTTGAGCGCATAGACTTGAGACTTGCAAAACAATGACTTGGTGCCGCTTCTGATATCTGCAGTAGGTGTCTGAGAGGGTTGTGGCACTAATGGCGCTAACAAAAAATGTGTGTGTTCCTAAAGGGCTACTATAGGGCCACACACATATTAATAAACTTCTCTAGAAAAAAAAAAAAAACCTTAATGTGTTTATGTGGCTTTAGGGTCTACTATGGGACCAAACTTTTCAGAGTCGGCCCAGGAAAATGTTGCCGGGCAGGCAGAGTGAGAGAGACACTGCAGAAGAAAAACAACAAAAGCTCTTCCAAACCTCTCCTCTGGCACTCTGGGAGATAATTAGCTATCGGAGAGATTTGGAGAATCTGACACAGAGCACGCTGACGTTACCCCTGTGACTACATCCCTAGTTCCCACAGCGAGCTAGCCAATTTGTTTAAGACTCCAGCCCAAGATCAACAGCCTCATACCACCCCACCCACCCTGTGATCACACTCACCCCTCTGTAGCCCTGACACACACACACACACACACACACACACACACACACACACACGCACACACTCCTCCTGCCCTTAAAGTCTCTCTGCTTTAACCCCGGAGAACACACAGAAATACCCACAGACACATAAACACACAATGCAAACTGCTGCCAGCCTAAAAACCTTTCTTAGACCTCTCACCACACACCGTCATCACTGGCACAGCCCAGAATAAACTAGGCCACTGGCTGTTCGTACCAGCTTGCTGATGCTGCGTCTTTAGGTCACAGGCTCCAAGTACAACACATTTCACACTGGTTCCAGTCGCAGTATGTGTTGCAGGGGGTGCTTGAAAAAAAAAAATCAGTTATGAACCAATTTGCTGCCCTGTAATGATCCTAAATCATGGGAAAAATACATAAAGTGCTTTTGGTCAGAGGTCAACAACTGCTGCTAACAAGGTGCTCCATGGGAACTCCTAATTGTTTTTTATGTGGGTTGCCGTAGGAACTGGTAAACATGTTAACGAGGGGTGACCGCAGACGTTCGCACATGGATGTGTGCAGTGTGTACACACTAAGACCAACCACGCTCATAGGCTCAAATAGGAGAGGAGCGGTGCTAGACAGTGTTCTGAGAGTAAGATGGGTGTGCTGCTACCCTCATTTGATCACAGCCTCGGCTCAATCACACTCCAGACTGTGCATTTGGCTCTGAAGAGATAGTCATGGCTTTCTGCTCATCAATAGACACATTACCGCCCAGTAAAATGAACCAATAAGTGCATGCAGATGTACTTCTGTGCAAGACAGTGCAATTACAATAGCCATTTAAATTGAAGCTTGTTGCAAGTTTCACTTATTAGCGCAGTGTTGCAGAAGTAATCATCACTGTTAGTGCTGTTTCCTATGGGCAGGCATCTGGGGGAAATCAGCCCTTTGTCTGCAGAATAACAGCCATCGCAGTGAGAACACCAGATCTCACCATTCCCTTTCTTTCGGAGATCTGCAGACAAAGAGAGCTCGCGTGTGCGCCGGATGGTCTCGCAAGGCCGGCTGAATAACATCTTGATCCATCAATGCAAATCAGCACATGCATTATAACACATCAACGTCAGCACGTCATGCATTCATTCGCTGCTCAGAATTGGACTGTACATCTGTTTGGCCTGTATGGTGAAATCAATGCAGGAATGCCCCCGAGCTGCAGAGGGGATGGGTAAAGGGGGTTTCGCTCAGTGAAACAGCCAGCTTTTCACCATCAAGACAGTTACAAAAGAGGCCTCTCACAAGGGCCCGCAGGCAAACTGGGCTGGCCTCGCTTTGCTCTTGGTGTGTGCAAAGCCCCAAAGAGGCCGAACTGTTCAGTCGCATGTACCAAAATATGTCAATCTGAGGAGCTTTGCTGAAAGG